TAGAGAAAGCACATTTACTTTACTACTACCTGCTTTCTTACACATGCCCAATTAATGTCCTTTGTATTTATATACTCATCTCCCACTGATATCAGCAGAAAACCACAGGCAAAAACTGAACAAGTTTTACTGTCGGAACTATATACCTGTACAATATGTTTGCATATATATATATATGTAGACGGGTAAAAGGTGATTTCATATTTCATAAAAACAATCAAATGTCTAAACTAAAAAAGCCTTTAAAATATGTAGCTATGCAACATAACCCTCAAATCCACTCCGCAAAATCGTCAGACGTGTTACTTTTACCGTAACTTTGTAACACACTTATCATTGATCCATCCTTCTTGAAAGAAGCGATGTACTATTTTTGTTAATGACTAAAAGCACATTCGATGCTATGCAACTCCAGAAGTCTACCAGGACTTAAATAACCCAGTACTGGATGAGTATTGATTATTCACATATGCCCATGCACTACTTCCTTGATTAACGTTAAACAAACATATTGATTCAAAAAGATGAAAACCGTATTATTCAGAGAAGACTCAAAGTAACTTCTGACAGTATTTTATTACCTACAGATGATTTCATATTATTTCAGCTAAATCATCCTGTCTTCAAACATTTACTTCCCTTTCATCCTGTACACTTTCTGTTTCATAGCATCAAAATACAAAGTTTGCAATCCCTATACATACAATCTAAGCACCTCTTATGTCCAATACTTACCCTAACATAATACTGCGCTGCATTATTTTATCAGAATAATAGATTAAAAATTTTCACTAGGAAATACACTTTTTGGAAGTGCAAGAGCATTTCTAATCCCACATCTGCACTGCTAAATGAATGTCCATTAAATTCTATTTGAATTAGTTAAGCGTAACATGCAGAAAAGTAAAATCTTAACAGTATCAGAACATTCCATACCCCTTAACTGCAACTTTCAAAGTGCTTGTTAGTCAATTCGAGCAAAAGCAAGCAAGAAAATGTTCTTTCTTAACTGAAAAGAACTTTGGAATTAAACTGAGAGAGAAGTGTAAGGAGAATGGTATGGGTTTTGATAGGGTAGATGCCCAGCCAGTAGATGCCAGTTGGAAGTCCACAGAAAGTCAGTGCTACAAATGACAAAAGATTCCCAGAGCATTATATTCAGATATTATGTGTGCTCCCTGGAGAAGCTCAAGGTTTGAAAGGGTTTTTGCAATATTTTGTTTTAAAAAGTAAAATCCAAGACAGAAAAGGATCCCTTCATATTAAGTTCTCCACAAAATATTTTAATCAGAGAAAAGCATACTTTTGTCTTCTGATCAGATTTGTCTGCTTTCATAGCATATAGAAAATACTACATATTCTGTAAGGCTGTATTCTTTAATTAATGTCCCACACCAACTCAAAGTTGGTTTACAGCATTTTTTGGCTTGGTAGTACTTTACAGCCATTTTAAAAGGCCAATGACCAAAGACAACACCCGAAACCTCTACTAGAGCCTGTAGACTCTACTCATAAGGAAATCAAGCCTACAGACTCTCTACATTAATAGCACTCTAGTGAGCACAAATCTGCAAACCTATAATAAAACTGATGATTGGAATCTTGTTCAATTTGCAGCAAATGGTGATACTAGCAGAGGTTCCAGCTGGGCCAAGATCACACTGTGTTGCAGTAAAGGATTCAAGAGAGGTTGCATGGAACCTTTTTATTTTTATCTTTATTACTTATATCTTAACTGGGGCTTAGGTTGCACTCGACCCAATGTGAGCTCTAGCTTCAGTGTATGACTCTCTCAGACAAAAAGAAACTGGGACACACAGAGAAAGCCAACGTATATGTCTAGCCTCACCATGGATTAAGTCCTTCATGGATGAGGTTAAGTCATTTCTGGTAGTAGTTCTACAAATTAGGTAATTGCCCTGCTCTTTATTAGTTTCATATTTCAAAATTTTAAGATCCATTTTTAGTGGTATATCCAGCTTCACATGTACATCAATATGCATGTGAATAAGAAAATTTAAAAATTGGTCTTGCTTCCAATAGCTTCCCTAATGTACATTAATCACAGCGGTATTCTTTTGTGAATGATTGATCAATTGATTATTCTTCTTTTAAATGCATATAATACAGCTTACTGAAAGGAAACTATGTAAAAATATTGAAACCTACCGAACATGTGCCACTCTGACCCCACATCAATTCAACTTAAAATCCTTTAAGACTGGAAACCAACTATTCAAAAAGCTAGCAGGAACTGGAGAAAAACACAATTTTTTTCCTTCAACAATAAAGACCACATGGAGTTACAATGTTGACACAGTGCTGTTGAAGCTCTATTTCATAATAAAAACATGTATTATTAAACCTACAGAGAGATGTACACAGCTGGACCCTCATAATATTACAAAGCCCATGTCAAACCTGCCTGCGATCCATCTGCATATATCTATTTATAATGTCTCTACAGTGTGTTCAGAGCAATGCTAATGAGACAGAGTGTAAGATCTAAAATCTAGATCTAAAATCTAGGTACCCATAATTAAATTGTGCAAACAGCATTTGACTGTAAATTTGTAAAAGTAGTAGATGATACATTAAATGTCAAGGCTACTTTGAACAATGTAGATCCATACATACGCACTTGTAAACTTGTATTTTCAATGCATTGTTCTCCAGGGAGGGATAGTATCCACAGCTTGCAATATAACAGTGCAATTTAGGAAAAAATATCTTTTTATAAAGCAAAACAAAACTTTCTCAAAAATAGCCACAAGTCAGAGGTAAGGAAATCTAATTCTTTGTAAACAGCATGGAAGATACTTCAAAAAGTTATGTGTGTCCCTCTGTAAGAAAGGAAACAGGAAAGCAAGAAAAGGATCCATAATAAAAAGAGCAAATAACTACGCTATATTCCCCAAATACAAAAGGTTAGTGGAATTGAAGTGTTATTCTTCAGAGAATGGCAATTCACTCCAAGTGGAACCAGAAGGGAGAAAGTGTATGTCAGGTAAAATATAATTTGGCTATTAGCAAGGCAAAAAGGAACTAAGAGCAGCAGATAGCAACAGATACAAAACCAAACAACAACAAAGCCTATTAGCATATCAGAAGCAGGAAACTTTCAAGGGAATCATTGGATTTGCTAGACCTGGGATTAAAGCAGCACTTGAAGAAGATAAAGGCATTGCAGACAATCCAAATTATTTCTTTTCATCAGTCTTTGCCATGGAAGATGTTGGAAAAATGCATTCCTGACTTTTCTGATAAAGAGACTAACATTTCTTCAACCTGAAAAATCAAAAAGGGCTGAGGAAACACAACAAATTGAAAGCAATATATGATGAGGGATGAGCTCCTGTCCCACTCATATCGACAGGTATTTTACCATTGATCTTAGCACTGACAGTCTTCAGAACCGAACAGCAAACAGACCAACACTTTCAAAATACGAAAAGGCTGAGCTGGACATGACAGTGGACTGTTCGGTGGTCAAAGAGAGCAAGTAAAATAATAGAATATAGAAAGAAGGAGACAGTGACAGTAGGAAAGTCTATATTTTTAGTCATTATCCAATCTCTTCTGGCGTATCTATTCAGCTTAGGGTTCCTGCTCGAAACCAATGACAGTGGCATATGTATGTTGTTTGACAACAAACACTGCTATGGAAGAAAATTTTAAAAGCTGGAAAGAACCAGGAAATTAATTTAGCAAAGAGATGAATAAGAGAGGACACTGCAGAGCTGCAAAGAATACTATGAGAAATAGGTAAATAGGATGCTCTTCAACTTAAACTTTCTCACGCTACTAGAGCAAAGGGCCAATCCAAGCAATAACAAGTTACTGAGTCAAAAATAAAAGGACTGAAACGTTTTACTGCATAAACCACAAACCTATGTAACTAATTCACAAGGACATCTCCATGATAATAGCAAGGAATATCCTTGGTGCTTTTGCTATTGCTTTTCTTTCTTGTTCATAGCCTTATACAGAAATTAGTGACATGTCAATAAACATAAATCTTCAGAAAAACTCATTTAAGGGAACATGCTTTCCCTTTCCTCTTGCTCTAATGCATGAAACTTTTCAGGCTGGATAAATGGCAGAGGAGGAAGGGGAGGTAAGATCATGTATGGGACATAGTTGCAGCAAGGATGAGGACAGCTAGTAGAGATGTTTCAAGCACGTGCTCAAATTGCAGTGTGCTGTCTGTGCTGTGCTAGATCCCACACTTGTAACGCGGGTGGTTGATGGCTCAGAAACCTGCCAGCTGTTGGCACGGGATATACTGGATCCCAATCTAGAATTAAGACAGAAGCATTAAACTATCAATGTGTGAAATTTGTGACTTAAATTACAAGGTAGGGCCATCGAAGGAGTCTCTTGCATAATTCATGACACTTCAGAACTTCATATATAAATCAAGTAGAAGGAAAGTCTATCATTTCTGCTCTGTTGAGCACAGATCCACACACAACTTTGGTAACGGCCGCACAAACAAGCTCTCTAGAAAATACAGTATTACAGACATGCTCTCCACAATACTTGTTTACACAGTTCCGCAAGTAATTTCAATACAAACTGCTCAGAAGTGTCAAAAATACAGAGGTCATTAAAAATAACAAAATGAGTCTGTTTGTTTGTTTTCCAAACGAATGCTTACAAACACTCTTTTGCAATGTTCTTCTGTATTGGACTTAGTCAAACTTTATTATATGATTCATGGGCTTGCTATTAATCATTCTGTCTGTCTAACACTGTAAAAAAGGAAACTACCGATTCTACAAAGCTCCCACACTTACTAAGAGGCTCCAAAAGCGTCAAAATTATATTCTCCAAGTTCAATGATAAACTTTGACAGACTTTCAACCTTGAAATGGTGAGTAATCCTGACACAAATGAACTGCAAAACTATTAATCATAACGTAAGAACAGACGTTATCAGTAAACATACATGTAACTTGCAACATTCTGCTTTAGAAATAGCTGAAGCCTTGACTTACTGTGGCTGTGCCGGAGACAGTTTGTGCATTTGTGTCAGCTGCACTCTGTTCAGAGTGTGTCTGAGCAGGAGGGTACATGTTTAACGTGTGCTCTGGAACAGTGGTTTGGCCTGTGTAGTCTGGAGCTGGGTGAGGATGTGGGGCTGTGTATTCTGCAGGGATACCGTTCTGAGGTGGCGCAAACTGGGCTGAGGCATAAGGCTGTGCCATTGTGTCAGGAGGTGCTGTAGCTTCCTGATTACCCTGTAAAAATCAAAGGAGAAAAAAGGAAGAAGAAATATGGAGTGAGATAAAATAAGCGATGATCCTGCACACATAACACCAGAAGGGATGACAGCACTGTGCTAAGATTGCTAGCCTGAAAAGGGCAAAACGTGTGTTTTTTGAGGAGAAAACTTCTTATCTGAATTAAATCCTTTTTGCTAACGCTATTGAATCTTACCATACTTAGACAAACAAATCTGCTGTTTTCTGGATAATTGTAGACTATTCTTTAACTAGGAAAGGTCAGTGAAGTCTACCTGAACTAATGCCTCCACTCAGACAATGAAGAGGGACAAAGCTCAGTTTATTCCAAAGGCGACTGAGCGCAACTGCCAATACGGAGCTCTGGTAAGGTTCGCCCACGGGCTGTGATCTGTTCTGACTCACCATTTGCAGAACATAATATATGCAGTCAACACACAGAGCAGGATTTGGATGCACACTGTACGCTGAAAATCTTGATATGAAATAATGCTCTATGAGATATTCAGAAATACTTTGAGGTACACTGTATTAAGCAACTGCATGCACAAATGCAAAAAAATAATGAGAGCCGATCAAAATATCAAACACCTGAATCTAAAAGTGCATCAGTCCAAAATATTAAGTTAACATAAAAGAAAAATTCTATGTTGTAGGCTGTCAAAAGATACAGATTTCAGAACTGTAAAGGATTTAAATTTGAATACAGTAGTCCCTCATTTCCATATTACAATAAGCCTATACAATTAAAAAAAAAAAGCCCTCATCTCTTTCTATGAAGATCCATCTTTATGTCTGATGTAATAAAGGATAGTCAAGTATGTTCATTTATCACTTAGACACTTCCGACTAAATGCTCTGCTCACCCCAAACAGTAATAATTCTAGGGGAGGAAATGTACAGAACAATCTTTCAGAACCTATATAAAAGATGTCCAAAACATGATGCTGCAGATGACACAGCATTAGAGGCCATTAATACAGGGACTGTCCCAAACTCAGGTGAGCTGATTTACAAGATTTAAAAATCCCTTTAAATATCAAGTAATGTACAAATTAATATTTGACTAAAATGTTAATTAGTTTTTTAAATACTCTGTCATTTTCCCACCAAAGCATGTACAGGTGCCTTCACAGGACCATTGTAGGGGTTTTGCTTACTTGTACTCATCAGTCCTTGATTTCGTAATTTCAAAATAAGCTGGATGGATAAAAGACATTCTTTTGCACTTCGTACTTAAGGACATTTCCAGCCAACTTCAACTAATTCAGACATCCGTTCTCTGACCTGAACTGGTCCTAAACTCAGGAGCTTTGAAGAATTTGCAAAATCACAGCATGGGAATAAGCAGGCTTAGAAGGGAAAATTAAATTTTCCTTTGTAAAAGGCATTCAGTGTGTCCTAAAAAAATCAAACCTTTATATCAGCAATCAAACCCTCCCTAATTTTAATCCTCTCTTTGCTACTATTTTAATGTATGGCCTTCAGCAAGTAGTTTACATTGCTTCATTCAACTGTCCTTAAAATGAAAACAGTGACATTTACCTACCTCACAGGGTTAAGTCAGAAAGTTTCATTTGCATGTATGTACAAGCATTCCAGTGTTATTGCCGCACTGAAACTTGCCATGTTTAAATTGCAGTGGAGGTTAAAAACTTTTGTAAGTGTATACTTGTACCCTCATATTAAAACAGCAAGGTCCCTTGCTTATTTCTTTCACTGGTATTTTCACTATTTAAAAAAACAACAGATGAAGTAAGAACCAGCAATGACTGGATTACACCAGAGACATTTATTAAATGTTAATGAAGTATTTTGGAAGTTTGTCGGGAAGGTACGGGGCCATAAATTTTTTACTCAACTGTTTCAGGAAGGGCTTCAGCAAGTGGTAAGACTGAACAACAGCAAATCGAACTTCTGCCTATATAAGCATTTTCACTGTGCTGGCTTTGAAACACAGTAGCTGGTTACTGCTGGTCCTTAAGCTATTCCTTCATGTCAGATGCTAAACTTGGCATTAGAGTCAGCAGCTGTTAAAAAAGAACAATAATGGCAACAAAGGGACCAAGGGCTAATGTCCAGGTGCATTTGATCTAAAGGTTTTTATACCACCTTGAGCCCTAAACCAGATGTTGCTGCGACCCCCGCTGTTTCTCATTAACATTGACAGCAGTTCCATGAGACCCTAATTAATATTCAAAGCATTCACACTTAGTGCTAATCACAGCTAATATTTAATTAAGAGGGTTGAACTTTTATATTATTTGTACCAGCAACCCCGAACGACTCACTTCTTAGATGTATCATAAAATGGCAAACTGCACCGGCAACTCCAGCACCTCCATGGTGCTGACGC